AAAGAAATTAACATGTTGTCACATGCTGCAAATTGTTCTAAGTGTTCCTGACCCTTTCTCTCATGTTCCCAACTGGCATTCTGCTTGTCCTGCTTCCTGCAAGCTGGTGGTCTCCTCAGGAGGGGCCTTTCTCGCCACCAGCCCTCTGCCTGGCATGCCAGGCAAGGAGACTGACAGAATCACAGAATGGCCAGAGTTGGAAGGGATCTCAAGGATCATGAATCTCCAACCCCCCTGCCACAGGCAGGGCCACCAACCTCCTCATTTAATACTAGACCAGGCAGCCCAGGACCCCATCCAATCTGGCCTTGAACATCTCTAGAGATGAGGCATCCACAACCTCTCTGGGCAGCCTGTTCCAGCACCGCAATGAAGACAATGAAGTGCTCTAAAGATGGAAAGGTCTTATGAGTGGGATGGCCTGCAGCTATACTCCTGGACATAGCTGCTGGGCTTGGAGTGGTGATGTCCTTCTGAGCAGCCCTTAGCCGCATGGAGGGACGCTGACCTGGTCCCCACTCCCCTGCCGTCACCCTGGTTGGGTTCATGGTCCCATAGCATGGTGGGCTGTTCCAGTGAATCATTTACAGTAATTGAAAAAGGTGGTGAAGTAACAGAATTGAAACAAGCTATTACTTTACAGATTCCATTAACTATTTCTGGCTCTTTATTTCTGCTGAAATTTTTGCAAATCTCATGTTATGAAAAGCTAAGACTCATTGTCCAGTTATCAAGAGCTAACTGTCTCCATGGAACATACTTTCATGACTGTTGCTGTCGTGATTCGAGCAGCAGACATAAACAGGGTCATCTCCAGCCATGGTGGGTGGATGTTTAGTTTATAGCGCTGAGGTTAAGAGTGAAAGCGTGTGACTAAGAGCAGAAAACAGAGGAGCCTTTGTATACATCAAGAGCCCTGAGGCAAAACACAGAGAAGGAGAATGCTGACACAGACTCTAATGGAGAAAGAAAAGAGTCCATTATAAATGTTACAGAGAACATAATTCTTTTAAGAGAAATCAAGATTTAAGGGACTTATGCAGGAGAATATGAATATTGACGTCAATGCACTACGCCTGTCAATTTGTCGTCTGACTCCATACAACTATTAGAGTGCTGTGCATCATGTCAGGTGGAAGATAACTCAGTGCCAGAAATTACCATCCGCTATTTGTTCAGTTTCTGGTGGAAGCAGGTTTCTTTCAGACTCAGGACTTTCACCAGCAACCACCAGTATGCACAATGAAGGAATTGCATCTCATATATTTTAACACCAGCCCATCCCCACAGGTGGCCAAAAATCATTTTCAGGACAATTTTTCTTTCCCAAACATTATCTCTCCATAAATAGCAATGAGAGACGAAGGCAAAGGGAAGAAGTAGACTGGGTTGTTTTGGAATTACTCAGGTAAGAAAGTACCATCAGAAAGCTGGTTAGGAGAGCAGCTTCCAAGTTTGGATATACATTACAAAAAGTAAGGAGTGGCACATTTATTGCACCATAAAACAACGTATGTGTACTTGAAAAATAGTCCCCAAACCAAGTGCTATAGTGGCTTCTAAACTTCAGCTGACAGAGTCATGAAAATGAAGTGCTTTGTGCAGTAGCTTGCGCAACCAAAGAGCTTTCTTGTCCTCAGAGTGCTTTATTATTTTTAACGAGGCAGGCTGAGCACTTCTTGATAAACATTTTTTCCTTGATGCAGTAATCCTACTTAAACTTTTTACCTTGTCCCTACAGCATACCACTAGGAAGTTCATAACAGAACTCCTTTTCTCTTAAAGTGCTAGTCATGCTAATGTGTAAAGCAATGGACACTGCGGTTTCCATAGCTGGAAATAAATTGAAAGTGCTGTGTTAGTTTAAGGGCTTAAGGTTTTGAGAACAAAACTTTTCTGAAGTACATTTTCTGTGATATCTTCTTTCTTTCACACTAAAATAATTGTATGTACTAACATTCATTGTGACAGGAATGTGCCAGCCTGTAGTTTTTGGTCCTGATGCCTACCCCGAAAAAGTTTCCATGCAGTGATTCTGCTACATCATGGCTGGATGATGGACAGCAGGTTTTGATTGATTTAAACCAAACAGCCAAGACTGATCCAGATCCCCAAAGAAGGAAAGCAGTCTATACAACTGTGCACTTGCTTTTGTTTTGAGCAAGGTGCATTGCATCCCAGTGGCAAATCCCTCTGGGAAAGCATTACAGTAGTTCATTTGTAAAAGTTATTATTTTCTTTGATACAAGACTTAATAAAGATTTTAAGAATGAGATTTTAATTAATGGCAAGAATTTAATGAGAATCAGGAAAGTCAGAGCCAACACTCATCTAAGTCAATCTCACTTCTGTCCCCACGTATCAGTGTGTTACAACAGGCTCTTTCATAGTCACATGATACTGGCCAGGGGACACACTTTCAGCAGATCTAATATAATGAAAAGAAAAACTGTCTTTTTCCCCCTGTGGTCTTAGATGCACATGTGGCTTTTCATACCACACACATCATGTGTTCTCAGAATGAAAGACCCTTTTGTGACAGGCACATACCAACAGAGGCAACTTAACATCGAGTAGGATTGTTAATACAGTTTCCTAAAGCCTCCCAATGAACACTATACAAACAACATCACATTGGTGGAGGCATGTGGTTGAAGGAATATGATCAGTGATATTATAAATAATTTGCAATATATGCCTCTCCATTTCTGCTCTACCAAGATAAACCGCCATTACTTAACGGACATAAGTTTATCTTTCCATGTAGGAATGCAGTAAAACTTAAGGAGAGGCCTGGTGATTACTAAAACGTATCTTGCTGTCACTTGTAATGGTCAAGTCATCCTCATTTTTGTGTTTGAAGAGAGTCATTACAAGTCCCCTGAAAGTTGCAGCAACCTTTGTCCATTGCCTTTATGCCAGAAGACCAGCAAGAACAGTACCTCTCTCAATTAGTGCCCTTGGCCTGAGGTGACTGAATGTACTTGCCTAGGCACAAAGGAAGCAGCCATCAGTCAAAGGTTACATTTTACAGATTTGGCATGCTATGTATGTCTCAAGAGAAACAAATTCTCAGGTTTCTGATTTGAAGCAGCAAGTTAATAGTGCAGCTCCAAGTTAACTGCACAGCTCCACCAGCAGCAGCTCTCTGTCCATTCATGGGAATGTTTGTCCTTGAAAGAACATTTCATAATTTGAATTGTTCTTGAGGATAGAAGTCCAGCCTGGAAATAAAATCTTGCCTTTGCTGTAGAGCTTGGTTTTAGGGTATACATAAAAGGACCTACCAGGTATTTTCAAAGTTGAACAACCAAAGCTGTACCACCAATTTAAGTAACTCCAGAACTGGCTAGCTGTAGAAACACCCTCCATCTCTTAAAAAATAAAACAACGAACACAGATAAAGAATTTAACAATTTTATTAAAAATTGTACCAGTTATTAGAAAAAACAATCCAAGTATTAAAGTATTAAAAAGCACCAAAGAAAGAAAGCATAAAGCAAATATACTGCACAGATTAAAAAAAAAAAAAAAAAAAAAAAAAAAGGAGCACTGCCCAGTCACCTTTGGTACAGGCAGGAGTCCTGGAGGCACACAACCAGGATAAACAAAATGCTACATTCTCACTGGGTCTCAGTCCATGGCAAAGAAGGTGTGTGCACTTCAGGACTAATCCAGACAGAAATCTCACAGGAGAGCATCAGAATTACTTCTGCAGCAGGACAGTATAATATTCTGGTGAACATTAGAAATCGTGGGGAAACCCTCCACTGTGGTCATTTTATTAAGTACATTGCAAATTCTATCTCATTTTATCCTTTTGGTTTTCCAGATGAAGGACTCTGAAGTTTTAAATGTATCCCACAAAAATAGAAAAGTCATGCAAGAGGGGAAGGGAGAAAATGTGAAGCCACATTTCACAGTTTTCTCATCAGTGAATTTTACCTAGAAACATGAGAGTGTACTCCATACCACTGAAAAGAACAGAAGAAAAGATACGTGATTGGTTTCACAAAAAAAGAATCCCAACAGTCTAGACACCCAAACTCAAATTTAGTGGCAGGATTTTCAAATGCATCCAGTGGAAACAGACATTCAAATCCCTTGAATGTTTTGAAATTTCCTTATTTGAAGCCTAGCTTCTGAGTTTTATTTAAAAAGATACTGACAATGTTGTCTTTACATCACACCAAGTCTCTCCCCTTTTGTCATCAATTTTTCCTTTCATAATAGTCTGATAAAAACTGGAGCTGAGGAATCTGTGATGATGCTCTCCTGGAGCTATGTCCACAATCAGGGAGACTCCTTTAGATTTAAGAATAACTTTATACATGCAACATTTTCATAATAGATTTTAAAAACAGTTTAAGAATCTACTCTTCCCACCCCTCCATTCCCCAAAGGCAGCTAAGAATCTGAAGACAGAACTGAAAACATGGCTTTAAAAACCAGCCCACAGAACATTAGGTTTCGCTTCCCAGAAACCAACTTCCAGCATAGGATTCACAGGAAGAGACCCTCCTTTCTGTGGCTAAGGAGGAAGGTGAGGCACATGGAAGAAAGAAGGGGTAGGGGATGTCAGACTGCATTCAGTTTAAGAACACACACACACACCCACGCACACCCACACACACAATTACATTCCAGTGCATTTGATGTGTTTGGTCTTTTCTGCTTTTCCTGGTGGAGAAGAACTGAGCTGTGTAACACCTGTGTGAACACACGCAAACCAAAGAAACAGAGACCACTGAAGTCTTTAGGAACTGTAAAAGATTGTTCTGCGATCTTTTATCAATTCCTTGAGGTATTTCTTCTTGCTAAAACAATCAAAGGCAATAGGTAGGCATTTTTGCAAATGAGCACAAATGCCAGTTTGAAAAACAGACTCTTGAATGATATAAACCTTTGTTGTCAAACTATGCTAATACTCCATAGTGCTTGGTCCATGTGCAGAGCTCCCATTAACATGAATGAGCAATCCATGGCCCTTTTACTTATAATCCTGCAGTAAATATAGCTGGTAAAATAAGGCAAGGCCTCCACATTTCCACATTCTTGTTTGGCTTCTAGCACATATATTATGTGCTGTCTGTATTTTTCCCTTTAAAAATACCCAATAACACACCATCCAGCATGTCAGTCTCACCATTCCTACAACCTCGGCAAAGATATTGGTCAGGACCAGTAGCAGAAGGATGAAACTAATTTTGCAGAATTGAGGGGGGTCACATCGCAACAACTGCCTCAAGTAATATTCTTTTTCTTAAAAAAGGAAAATCTTCTCCCAAGTCTACTATTTCCCAGATGACTGCCAAGACCCATACAGAATGAATTTCAACCTTGGCTATAGCTCCAGTGACTGCTACAGGACAAGTTGGGCTGTATTAACTTCACATGCACACATCTCATATAACTTTAATTCAGGTTTGAAGGGACAAAGCAAACAGCCAACAGAAAGAAAGAGAGAAGTCTTCACAATCACCCTTTCTATATTAAGAAGGACTGGGTTCCTCTACTCTAGTCCCTTGCTGATACACATCTCCAAAGCAAAGGCTGATAGGGAAGTTTCTTTCAGGATTCTTCTGCAGAGAGTTTAGCCAACAAACATCTAACCCACTAGGCTACTTAAACTGAGATACGTGATCGGTTATGCAGGAATTCAGTGCTACCAGAGATTATCAGCACCTTGGGAGAAGTCTGCAGCCTTGCACACAAATCCAAAGGCAATCCTTTCTATGCAAATTCATTTATCTTCTGTCTTTTTTTGTATCCTACTAATGGCAGTTTGCAGCTATCCCTGGGCAGTCACTGGCTCTTACTGGCAATTACTGGCTCAGCTTTCAAGAACTGCAGGAAACAAAAGTAAAATTAACTATTCCCTACTAGCACCGGGTTTACTGGATCCAGGGATGGCCAAAGTTACAAGATGCCCAAAAGTATGAGAAGTTGAGAAGGGACACCAAGGATCTCTATCTCTCAAGGAGAGAGAGCTGAGGTCTGAACCCATGTTGGAGATCTGGGAAAAGCAAGTAAGATACTTCAATACTGCTGCTGTCAGCAGCTCAAGTTGTTGGGTTTTTGTTGTTGTTGTTTTGGGTTTTTTTGTTTGTTTGTTTGTTTGTTAAGAACCAACTGTTAAAATTAGGTATTTGTAGGTAGAAGGAAGATCCCATTGTTTTCTCTAATTGCTAGACTAGATTTACGACACAGAAAAACAGTATCCCAGTTCTTTCATGAAGACAACTTAGTATGAAAAAAAATTGATCATATTCCTTCAACAGAACTTAATCCATTCTCCTTGGATGTGTTTCCCCAAACAATCGGCCTGTGTCTGTGGTCACATTGTAAGAGGTTCTCTGAGAAGATCTCAGTGCATGCTGAACGGTCCTTACAAACACAGGGTGGGTGTCAAACAAAAGGATGATCACATGAGTGATGCACATCTGTGTATTTGTTAGTAAACACGTGAAATCTTTTCACCCAAGACAGAATCATCTGACCAGGCCAGAAGGAAAAAATAAATAACAAGTACCCATTATTTCTTCAAGTAGGTGAGACTGTAAGCATGAAACAGCTTCTTTTCCTCAAGTGAAAAACCAGACTGCCCCATAACGTCTACAAGGAGCAAAATAGGAATTTTGGGTTGACAGAGCATATTTCCTTTCTCCAAGATATGCAGATACGGAATATAATTCAAATATATTATCAGTGGTTGCAAATCTCTGGCAACATTAACCACCATGCGTATTGCAGGAAGTCAGCCTTTGTCTAGGAGTAGCTCTATGTCTCCAATGAAGTATTGTTGTTTGAGGAGATTTTAACTAAAGACCTTGGCATGACCAATTTTGATAAGTTTGTTGTTACAATGGGAAATATGGACTGGCAAAGTTGTGTCTTTCCCTGAGCCAAGTGATTCTATTCAGGCAGTCAGCCTGACTGCTGAACAATTTCAGGTATTTGTTTCTCCACATTAAGAACAGTTATGTCCTAGAATAACTGGTGGGGTTGCAATACCAGAAAGTGCCAATACCAGACCTATCTTTCCAGCTTATGTATTCAGAGCAGATACTGGCATTACTGGCCTGTTTCGCAGTCAAGACAAAGCGGAGGGGAAGCGGGAAGCTCATGACGTTTTTTAGGTGTCAGATACACTTGTTGAGTCTTTCATAGTTCGTGGGGCTGTTATGACGAAGCTCTGATCTACTGGTCTGTGACTGTGCCCAATAAAGGGGCCGTGGCACCCAGTGGGAAAATGCAAGCATCAAGTCCTGGAGCATGCTGGCAGGCAACACAGCTGCATTGCTCCCTGAGCCTCAGCACACCCACTCCGGCCTCTTTAAGATTTTCCATTTTAAGAGTCTTGCCCTTAGCATCCAGTTTCTTAGGGGCCCCCAGTTCCGTCTGGTCTCACACTAGCCCTCAGGCTTTCCCCCCATTAAAGTCCTTGTTCTCCAATAAACAGCATTTACTCCAAGGAGACTGCGCAAAGCAAGGTATGGAAAACCTCATCTCTGTAAAACATGGGTAGAGAGTGGCTTCTCATACTGCTGCAACATAGTCGGCAACAGATAGCACTTGTATCTCTCTGGTAACTCTGTAGTGCACATGCTTAAAGAAACAATTAAAAAACCAAAACAACTCCCTCCCCCCAAAAGCCGCCCCCCCATCCTAAAACCCACCCCCTAAAATATTACTTGAGATTCATTTGCATGAATTATTAATCATCCCAGACAAACATATTACTCTAGCCCTAGCTAGAAAAAAATAACATAAAAGGAGAAAAAAAGCTTTTCTCACAAACTCTCGTTATGTTGCAGGAGAGCTATTGTGAATATATGAAAGTGAAAAAGGCTTTGAGACCTCTTTCAGGGAGCTAAAGCACATTTTGCCACAGTAAAGCAGGATGCAGATAAAGAAAATGGGGCTGGAAAAGAGGGAGAAAGTCCACATTTAAATGTGTTCAGCAAATTGTTACCATACACTATAGTGCATTGATGACATCATACAAAATACCAGAGAAAGCATGAATTACAGAAGGATATGCAGAGAGGCATGGAGGAGAAAGCATATGTGCAAGTAAACTACTCTTCTCTTACAGTAATGCCTATTTTTCGGGGTCAACCAAAAGCAGAAAAATTTCTCAACAGCTGAAATTAACATTTGTAATGGAGTTAAAGAGCAAATCTCTGGACAGATCTTCCTTAAGCCAGTTTTGTAATTTGAGATCTACAACAAGGTGCAGTGGAGATATGGAAGTGAACTGAAAAATGAAGTCTGTATTGTTTTTTCTGTTAATATTTTACCCTAGTTACCACTGGGTTTGTGAACTAATAATATTTAAGGCTACACAGAGGAAGCCTTAGATCTTTAAGGCTACATCGTTTTGGTAGGGTTATTTTCCTCTGCTGGTCCAATAGTGTCAATCACATGGACAAATTTCTGAGCGCATATAAACTAGGAACCACTAGGAGGTCTCTCATGAAGTAATATTATTGCTGCTGGTCAGTGTATGCCTCCAAACACTACTTAGTGGAGTAATGGACAGACTGCTTGTACAATGTATGTGTCAAACCAGCTGCTAGTTAACCTTCATGTCAAATCCTAAAGCAATCCTAATCAGACGCCTGGGACCTAAGCCTTCCCAACCAACCACATTATGGGTGACAAGAGAGAGAAACAAACAATCAGAACCACTCATCATAAAACTAATAAAAGCATTTACAATAGCACTGTAGAAAAAATGTGTCATGTTCCATGGTTTTTAGTTTCATGCTGGCTTATGGGTATTGTGAGTACTCAATTGGAAGCGAAGAGGGACAGAAATTAATAGTCACCAGTAACTCCAGGAATGTTTTCAAGAACATTCTACTGAAACAGTTTGGTCTATTGGCAAAAATGACAGAATAACTTCATATGAGAGAGCTGCAACTGGTGCCCAACGGAAAGATTGAGGAGATTGTATTTCTTTGTGATTTTCTCTTACGTAAGATGCAAAGAAATAAATCCATTCAGAAAACAAGTAACCTGCTGAATATAAGCTACTGAAATGTTTTCATTGTTAAAAGAACTTTCATCAAGGAGGAATCATCTTTGCTTGTGAAGATACCCAAAGTACATTTGATGTTCAAAGTCATCAGTCCTCAGACATCCATTTTAACTAGCAGTCAAAATGACTCTCCTGCACTCTATCATTGAGTGACGCACAGGGCAGAGGAAACTGTTAGCCTAATACCTGCCTCTCCTGCACAGAGGTTATCGGTGCGGGGAACCAGCAGCAAGCTTTACCAAACACATCCACATTCTGGCTTTCCTTCGACAGTGTTGGACAAGAGCTCCCCACCTCACAAGGCAGGGAGCAGCAAAGAAGAGTCCATAAAACCCCAAACTTGAAGACGAGTATAAGAATTTCAGAGTCCTCACATCCGGCCGGCGGTGTGCATGTCTCTCCCCCGAACCAGTGTTTGTTCAGTGCTCCCTGCAGACTGGATGTGGCCTGAAACAGGTGGGTGAAGCTCACCTCTGCCCAGTGCGGTTCCTGTTCGCCTCCACATTTAAGGCCAAGTTGTGTAGAAAGAGAAAAAGCTGCCACCACACTTGATTTCTGTTCTGCTGATGCTGTAGAGAACAGTTGAAACAAAGTTATTTATATTTCTAGAATTGCAACATACCACTTCTCTTTTCCAATAACAACTCAGTTACACTTTTCAAGAGCAGACACTTTAATCCCATCAGCATAACAAGGGGGTGCAGCAAGGGATGAGAGGAGAGAGGGAAATGATAAGTTCTCCAGAAATAATTGTAGCTCTAACATTACAAAAAGAAAAGAGCAGATCCTTTATGCATTGTGCACAAGAGGATTAAACTTTTTTTTACTTGTAGGATTTTGCAGAGTTTAGCCAAGTGCTGTTTTTAATCAGATTGGCTTCTGAGCCTTTCAAAAGCCCCAGCTGCATGAACAAACAACCTTTTTTTTTTTTTTTTTTTTTTTTAAAAAAAGCCCCCCTTCACCCCAAAAGTAAAAAAAAGTAAAAATATAACTGGTGATCCATCTGTAAGTGATTTGACACCGTGAAGGTCAAAGGGTTAATCTTCAATTTAAACCACACTGCTGAGACAGCAAAACTCTGATTTCATCTAGTACAAGAAAACACATTCGTGCACACACACACTCCCCCACCCTCCCCCCACCACATTTTCCTTCCCAGCATCTCCAAGATAATACTGCCCTTTTTATAGCCACTTTTGACAGTAAGCCATAAATAATCAGCCTTGGAGCCCTTTCCTACTGACTGGAGCCAATTAAACCTTAAGCAAGAACATACTTGAAAACACACAAAAAACCAAAACCAAGAGGTTATTTCAGGTCCCATTGTCAGGGAAGAAACATGGGAGTTGAGTTTCAGGGGGACACCAGACTCTATAATGCAGCTCTGGGGCAGAGACACTGTCCCTTCTTTTGTTATGTGTAATCACCTTGCAAAAGTGCCTCATATTATACCCCCACCTTCCCGCACTTTAATGACATCTCACACAAACAGGTGGGTTTCTCTTTACATTGCTCAGCCTGGGATACTATTTCACCTCAATAACCAGCTCTCTATTAGAAGTCAGGCTTTGTTTTCTCATCCAGAATTCCATATTTGTTAAGCAGGACTGATCATTTCTGGAAAACAAAACAAACCAGTCCCGATTCCTCCCTCCCCCAATCCCCAGCAGACAAGAAATCAGAAGACTGACTTCCAACAACTTTGCTTCAGTACACAGGAGTTCATAAAAGAGCACTGAAGCACATTATATGAACAAGATGTTTCAACTTAGATTAGCTCAACAGGGCAGAACAACATGGTTGTAAGGCATTCTTTATGCAATCACAAATAGGGGAGAGCTGCAACTGGAGTTAGTGTATTAAAGATGAGCTCTCCAAAGCCATCCCAAATATTAAGTTATATTAATATTTAGGCACAAATAGGTCTGTGCCATTTGTATAACAACTACATACTGAACTGACTTCAGAAAATCCGTGCGCATCTTGCATCTTAGCAGTGGTTCGTTCTCCTTTGCCTCAAGACTTACCAGCTGTCTCCTGGATTTAGAAGAGTTCGCACAGATCTAATCACACGTTTAAACACTATCATGCTTGGTGCGTGAGCCACAGATGGCAACTCTAGAGCTTGGTATCATCTAATTCAAAGGAATCAGTCCTGGGTGCAGTCCATACAGACTGCCCAAACATGGCTAGGTTTACATAAAAAAGGTCTTTCATACACTGTCCTCTAGGGCTGGGTTACAAACACCTAAATTGTCCTCAGAAAGCAGGACGCTCTCTGTTTTGCTGCTTGCTTCTCAGTTTGACCAGGCTTGTCCTTCCTTGTCAAACCTGAGACCTTTTTCACCCTCCTCCACACTTCCAAACCTGCTCAAGCACACACATGGGACCAAAATGTTCTGATGGCATCTAGATACCATGTATTTATCAAGCTATTATGGCTTACACTGAATGCTCCTTTAGATCTTCATGGTAACATGTCAGTGAAGCAGCATGCAAGCACAAGACCTTCTTCTGCAGTTACTGCAAACACTGAACTATACTTGGAGAGCAGAGTGGACAAACATACTACAAATGCTCCGAAGGGAATCCAGTTACTTTGGCAAATTATCTCATTTCATTGGCAGACAAAAGAGAAGATAAGTATATTACAGGGAACTGGTAATGGAGATTCAAAATCATGATTAAAGATGCTAAACTTGATATATATCTCAGCTGATTTGGTATCTGCAATTTCAACTACACCACCCTGTCAGAAGGACAACTATGTGTAAAAATCCTGGTATTTAATGTCCCAGTTCACATAGGAGACTGCTTTGGGCTTTTCACAAGCCACAGCAGATTTCTGAATATTCTGTCTCCTTCTGAAGTTTTAAATGGCATCTCAGAAAAAACAACTGTTATATGCTAGGATAGGTAAAGAAGGTCACATTCAAGGAAAAACAGTGGAAGGACAGAGCTTCTCCTCCTCCTGTTCTTTGTTGGTGTGTTTGCTTGAAAGGAGCAATCTGAAAAGAGTATTGGGTTTTGTTTGGTAAATAGAAGTTTTAGATCTCTATTTTCAGAAGAGTTACAAATCCACAGGAAAGCAAATGGGATGTGGTACCACAAGCACTAATTCTAACATTAAAAAGCAATTCTGAAGTTAAAAAGCACTAATGCTAAAATGCTAAACTTTTTAAAAATTCACACTCTACTGTGTTAATTCACTGCCTACTTGAGCTACTTTTTTGGTAAAGCATTTTCTTCTTTCTCCAGTTTAAAATGTTTCTCATTATTTGCAGGAGAGATTTTCGTACAAAGAACAGCTCAGTAAGAATCATTTCAACCTGCTTCCCCCTGCTTATAAAAACTAAGATCTCAAACAACTTTATGAAGGATATTGACATCATTCATTTTGTTTTGAAGTGAAAAAAACTGAGCATGAGGCAACTCACTGCCTACAACCTTCCAGCAGGCCAAGGACAACTTTCTAGGTTTTATGCTTTGACCACAGGCCTTCTATTTTCCTGGGTCCATATTTAGCCAGCATTTCCTTCCATGGGGTCGTAGCTTACACACACTTTCACTGGCTTGCAGACTGAAGTGGTCTGCTTGCATTGTCCTCACTTGCATTGCTACTGGAAAGGGAAATAGAGCAGGAAAATGATCAAGGCCAGAACTGATCTGTCAAAAAAGCTACCTTTACTATTGATCAGGCCATCTTAACTCATCTGATCCATGCCATCACATAGTCAAATTGATGCTTGTGCCAGCACAACAGCAAGGCAGCCTCAGGAGAAGAGCAAGATAGACTGCTTCCATCAGGGGCAAGCCTAGCTAACAGGGCTTTCATAATTATGGTTTCACTTCAGGGCTGATCTGCCCTCTGTGGCACCAATTCAGCATGGGATAAGAGCCACAGAATGGAAATGGTAGATATAATTTGCAACAGAGATAGATAAACCAATTTATGGAAAGAACTTCTGAGCCTAAAAAAAGTACTTTTCACAAGTTTCAGGAGCTTTTCCCTAGAAATGCCTTTGCCAAAACCAAAATACTCAAATATCTCAGAACTGGTGGTTTTCCTTTTGGTGGGGTTTTTGGGGGGGCAAGTTTATGGATTTGTTTTTGGTGTTTGTGGTATAACTCAGCTGCCAGGAAGGACAGAAAAACCAGGAGAATGACTCCATGAATTCTGCATCTAATTTTTTTCAGATGTGGTATGTTTCAAGTAAATAAGTAAATTCTTACAGTCTCCTAAGACTCAGGACTATTGCAGCCCAAGACAGTATTTTTCCTAAACCTTGCTACGCTGATTTGACCCTCACTGCTACAACACAGTATCAGAGATGAACACTTTGCTACTTCCATACAGCAGAAACACAACAAACATTTTGAACCTTCTTCCCTAAGACCAAAAGAAGCTCTTTCTGCCCTCTACACTAACCAAGACCAGAGTTGTGAAAACAGTAAGTCAACACAAAGCTGGAAACACATAAAAACATTTCCTACTGCAGTTGCTTTTTAAAGGGATATCCTTAAGAGACTGTCTGTCTGAGATGTTAGCATGAATGCTTCAATGAGTCACAAGGAAAGGGCATTTTACAGGAAAAGTGTCCCATGCAGCATCAACAGCACACTACCAAAGCCTACACCATGAGCTGTGCTGCCAATAGCCAGAAAACTGGTAAACAAAAAAGTGACACAATTTTCCTGGAAGCAAATTAAAGGGAGACACAACTGACCTGACATTTATTCTCTCCTCAAAGTTAATACTCCTAATATGTTTTACACTATCAGTATACAGACATGCATCTGTCAAACAGCACCCCAGATATCAAAAGTTTTTTTACTCCTTCCAACCCCTCGAACATGGTGCTCAAAGGAAAATCAGTAATCAGTAAAATCAGGTAATACATCTTAAAGAAAACTTTGTCCCTCTGCCAGCTCCTTGAGTCCTTGGGCATAAATGTTTAAAAGATTAATTCTATTATGTTTTACCATCTGACAGAGGAGCTATTATTATCCTTGAAAAATAAAGAATACATTCATCATATATGCACATACTATACGTGGATATAGCACACTCCTACCACGTATAAGGAACTGTGCACCTGCCTGCCCTCCTCAGCTTATAGGCAACTTCTGACTTTACTTCACAGTTTAGAGATGGTTAAGGGTCAAATTTTGATCCTATCTTAACTGGAAGGATTAAAATACTAACATAAATAGCAATATTGTAGCAAAAGAATACTGGCATATGTGGACATAAAAACATCATTCTTTCTTTAATGACTAATACAAGTACCAGCAGTAAGTTGTTGGGATTTTATTTATTCACTGAAAACAAGAATACTTGCACACCAGGAACAGCTGCTGACTCATCTCTGAGGGCTGTTTTGGCTGCCAGGTGGCTGGAGGCACATTGTGCTACCACAAAATGTGCTTCAGCTCACAAAGACTAGAAAGTCACAGTCCCCACAGCAACAGAGGTTACAGAAGGTGTCCCCACAGTTGGAGGGAGAAATGGAAATCAAATTCAGGTCTTTCCAGCTGTGATTGCTAATGACCAAAGAATAATGCATGT